AATGGACAAGCTGAAAGGTTCGTTGATACATTTAAACGAGCCATGCTTAAAGCACGAGGGGAGGGGACTACAGAAGATATCATAGAACGATTTCTAGTTGCGTACCGGACGACCCCGCATGACTTATTGCCAAACTCCAAATCCCCTGCTGAGATGCTTATGGGGCGAAAGCTACGGACAGTTCATGGTGCGATGAAACCCAAGCAAGTGGCCCAGCAAAGCCCCCAGATGAAGAATACTCGAATTCTCTACGAAGTTGGTACAAAAGTGTATGCGCGAGATTATAGACATGGATGTGATAAATGGGTAGAGGGTGAAATCACACAAAAACATGGGAACGTCATGTATGATGTCAAGGTGAACCAAGAAATCTGGACCAGGCACCACAATCAACTCAGGTCAAGGAAAGCGAAGGAGAAAGAAGCAATTACAAAACATGTCCCACTCGACTTGCTGTTGGACACGTTTCAACTTCCGCCAATACCTCCAACAGAGACGACTAAGTCATCTACTCAAGTAGAACATCCCTCTGGTTCTGTGTGGTTGCCTCGGAGGTCGGATCGCAAAAGAAGACACCCAAAGAAACTTCAAGTAAACCCTCGGTTACGTCGCTATTAACTTTTCCAAAGGGGAGGTGTTGGGATACTCAGAAAAATATCCCAGAAACAATTATCCGGTTAAGTCTAACGCTACCCTTGAACGTTAAATGGTGTCATTTCCCTATTGGTCGTTTCCCTACTGATCAATATTTATTTCGCGTGTCATTTTCCTATTGGTCAATATTATTTAACGTGTCATCTTTCTGTTGGTCAATATTTATAGTAATCCTAACTGTATAAATATGCATTTGTTTGTAAATCATTATTCTGCTGCTCCTGACCCCATAAACGATTTTTCATCTACGGTTCGTGTTCTGATATATTGGAGATTGGGGACAGTATTGGGGTCGAACTGGGATATCTGAAGCTTGTCAGTTGGTAGAATTTAGAGTAGCCAACTCGCGATCCACAATAAATTCCAAGACAAACCTTCAACTTAAGTTATTTTTCTTAAACCTATCAGTTTGATAAGGGTAGGAGGCTTGATGGCCTGTGTTAAATGTACTAAAAAAATTACGAGACTTTTACACTATTATAGTTATATCAAAAAAAGTATCTTAAAATGTGATTTACGAAAATGAAAGATTGACATTTAGAAAAAGTAATATCTATTCTCTTAAGTGTTACATTGCCTGCTTTTACATTTTTCATTGTTATATATTTACATTGAAGCAATATAGAAAACAACTGTCGAGTATGAATCACAAAAAATATTGTGTATTTTGATCGTCGTACAAATATTTATGTTGATGAATTGAAGAACTTTAGTTTCGAGGCGTCGCTTGTATTGTAGTTTAATCCCTTTTGGAGTAGGTGTTCTTCTATTTTTGTTAGTGGTTGTTTTGACAGGTTGATCACGCAATTTTATGTGTTTTCTTCCATGGGTCGTTTTGAGATCTTGATTAGTTTCTTCTTCAGGATGTTTCTTCTTTGTTCTCTGTGTCGTTTGAATGATATTTCGATGGCTGTTGTCAAGATTTCCAAATGTTCTGATGTGAGTTTCCTTTGTAACTTTATTTTTTGGTCCTCTATGACGTGTTGGTATTTGTGGATCCTGTATTGTGCATCCGTTATCATTAGGTGTACCATTATTCTTCCGATTTGCTAAGCTATTCTCTATCCCAATGCGCACATTGTTGGAGGTATGTATCTTACACTTGTTAGTATCACATGCTGACGAAGACACTCTTGGAGAAAATACCGTTTTTCTCGATTGGAAGCCTGTCTTTTGGCGAAATTCTCCCACTTTCGAAGAACCAGAAGGGCACTAACCTCATATGATTTTGAGATGGAGAAGATTTGTAGCTCAGGTGGATGATTTTGATGCTACAACTGACTTCTACCTGAAGTTTATGCTGGTGATGTCGTTTAGAAGAACTATGAAAGCTCCACGACCAAACCATCCAGCTCAGAGAATAAAACACGTGCTTGTATTTATCACAGAATTCCGTTATTTAAAAAAAACTGAATTAACTAATTTTACTATCACATAAACAAGTCCCTTTATGTAATAGTACATGTTAGTATATTTAAAACATTTCTCGACAAATAGCTGACGGATAAGTAGCCTGAACTTAATTATTGTATAAAGATCTCATCAAAAGTTGTAAACGCGTCTTGCAGATGATTATCAGTTATCGTAAAACTCTTGATCTATGAGATGAGTACTTTTTATGTATCCTTTAACCCTAGTAATAATCGTTAGGGTGCCAATTAGTCAGTGTTAGTTGTTGTTGATGTCTTTGAGCCAGATGGCTTAACTGTTGAGCTTTCATTATCGTTCTAGGCAACATTGTCATTTATGTAGCGGACATATTTTTCGTCATACCATAGGACTCTTCAGAACTTCCAACTCACGAAACATTAAGCGATCAAACTTAGGACCTAAAGGTTTTGTGGCTAGCATCTCATCTTTATACCAGGATTTCATATTCACAGATTTAGTCAGTATGCAATATTGTGAAGCTACTGTCCATTTACATCAGTAATATATGTCTCTTTTGCTAGGACAAACTTTCTCCCCAGTATTACAGAGTTTTCGTTGGTTGTCCGACTAATCAGTTCATGATGTAAACTACAAATAAAACGGTCACATAGAATTGAATATGCTAATATTTTTGACAGTTGTCATGAAATGTTCTCATTTAACCTAGTGTTTAAAATGGTAATAAGTAATCCCTCTAGCTATGATATTGGTTGATATATAATCGGTTTTCAATTTAGACAGAAGTTTTCTCAAACTTACATTCATGTTTAGCTGTCAAACTCATATAGCAGCTTACATGATATCCTTTGTCTTTGAGCTATATAGATTGCTCAATACTCAAATATTCTAACACTAACCTATAATGTTTAATATATTTTATGAATTATCAAATGTAGAATGTTAAATAAAATTACAGTATGATAACTTAATGTTTTCAAAAAATTTAATAATTGAATTCATGAGTCAATTAAAGCTAGACAACCATGAAAAACCAAGAAGTAATGGACGGTCGTTTCGTCCTATTGTGGGACACCTCATCAATGCGCATCCACAATCCCGACTCGCGACATTCGAATCCAGGACCTATCAGTCTCGCGTGCGAACACTTAACATCTAGACTACTAAGCCGACAGCCAATGGTGTCATTATCTAACTTCAACTAATCCACCAAATTGAGCGACACATCCACCATTGTCTTTAGTGACTTACAATCTAACAACAGACCTGGTTGAACTACACTGGTTACTGCTTTTCACTAGAACTCCAGGAAATACCTCTTGAAGCCAGTCACTAGAGAGCATATGTTGATTAATATCAGAAGGTAGTTTTGTGGATATTATAGTATTTTTTTGAATAGTTGAGACCATGGGTCGATTGAAGCTAGAACACCATGGAAAATGTTGAAGCATTGGGAGACTGTTTCATCTTAGTATCGGACTCCTCAGCAGTGCGCATCCTCGATCCCCCTCGCGGGTATCTACCTCAGTACAGTGGAAGATGGTCGCACAATGTCATGAATTGGTTGAGGTTAGATATTAACACTATTGGATGCCGACTCAGTGGTCCAGAGATAAGCGTTCGCGCGTGAGACTGAAGGCCCTTGGTTTGAATCTCGCTAGCCTGATCGTGTATGTGCACTACTGAGGAGTCCCATAATAGGACGAAACGGTCATCCAGTGCTTCCAGGTTTTCGATAGTGGTGTAACGTCAATCAGTTCATGATCTCAATCGAAAACATAAAAAGTAAATAGAAACTTTTTTAATAAAATTTGTTGAAGAAAAGAAGAATCCTCCTACTTGTCAATAAAATGCTTGACATCTTCAACAGGAAAGGTGTATAGTATAGATCAACAACCTTCACTACATCTTTATTTCAAAGTATGTGTGTTGAATTTAATATTGAAGAAATTTTTCTATAGTTTTGTTTGCGTAGAACAATGTATAAACCAAGTAGGTGGTTTTTATCTGATAAAATATCACTCGAGAACTATTTTCAAGTTTACAAATGTCTAGTAACAGCCACATGCTACAATTTAAAGATTGATTAGTTGCTCTACCAATAGCCTTCAGTTTATTGACACTTTATTATTACATTTTAATTTATTAACGAGAATTCAAATACAAACATTATAACACTAATTTTCTTACCAGTATACACATTTTACATGTAAAATCAAATGAATTTAATCATATAATAATGTTATGCTTCATATTTATTTATTTAAACACATAAACATTGGTACAAGGAGGCAACAAAGGGGAACCGAGTAGATATGCGCCACGTAAACATTCGATTTGTGTAAGGGCTGGGATACTAACCAGGTGCCCAAACAAAAACAGGTGGCTTCCTTATGGGGCCACACCCTGAGCCTTTGATCTAAAGGTCCGATCCACCTGGCAGTGAGGTAACACGATGAGATGCAGTCCCATGGTAGCCAGTCACCAATAATTGGTTCATAAGCCATTTATTCATTCAGCTTACTGGAGCCCATGTGCATCAATGGTTTGAATGAGGGTTTTCCAACACCCCTAGGTGGAGTCTCTGTGTCCACCAACTAGGTTAGAGCGCTGGACATTCGCTTTTTGTCCTCTCGATTCCGTAAACAACACCTGTGGTGTGAGAATGCAATGAGTAGGACTTTCCTTGCAGTGGTTATACGCACGTGGCCATGCGAGAGCATTTGGGGAGGGAGAGCTGACTCTCCCCACTTTCGGCCGTACCAGGGCATTTGGGGGCTATTCTCCATAAAATAATTACATAAATGGATCTCATTGCGAAACTGACCAAAGAAAATTATTCAATAATACATTTCTAATGAAATTGTTAATATGGATATTACAATAATTTAACTGAAAGTGTTACTTTTTAAGAAAATCTGTCTTGTTTTATTTTCAGATTTTTTTAAAAATTTTCACCATCTTGTTAATGATGACAATGATAAAAGTTAGATAATTGAAGTAAATAAGAAAATGTTTATATATTCAACTTGAATAAAATATGGTTCATACAATGTAACAGTTCATCAATACAAAACAAATAGTTTATATTACCTATTATAGAAAGCAATATTCATATGATGAATAATACACTTACAATGAATTCTGAAATGGATAATAAAACTACCTGTCAACAATATTTTAATTTAAATGAAACAACATATTTACCTGATATATATGAATTTAAACAACAACCTATATTAGTTTTAACGGATCAACGACAATTACAAACTATAACATCATTGTCAAATTCTACACTTCAAATAACTCAATCATCACAGATTTCTGTAGAAGATCAAGAACATCAAATCTCTTCACGTGTATCTGACCTAGAATCAGTAAATTTAGATAATAATTTCCATAGAAATTATAATAAAATCAATAATATTACAAAATTATCATTAATACCTATACTTCCAAATAATTCAGTAAATAATACAAAAAACTTATGGTTACTTCAACAATCTTCTGATAATTCAGTAATAAATTCTAATATAAAACGTCATTTTAAACGTCGTGCAGCAAATCATCATTATAATCAACGTCCTATTTGTTATTCACAAAATATAAAATCTAATATTAAGAATAAGTTTGGATACAATTCATTTAGTGCTCCATCTTCACTTATATCTAGTGCAATAGCTACTACATATTCAGAATTAAAAAATGAAAAGACTAAAGAGAATGAACAAATGAATTATGAACAATTACAATTATTATTACCTACATTATCAACAGTAAATTTGACGAATGATAATGTTGATCATGATGATCATGAAAATTGTTTAAATCGTAAATTTCTAAATGATTTTGATATTAATTCAAATGAAAATAGTATTGTAGTAACTGAACCAGTACAAATTACTGATCGATCATTTTCAAATCAATCGATTACAAATGATTATAAAGTTAATTTGTTAACATCTAGTGAATGTCTTTCTTGTTCTTTAGAAAATCAAAAATTAGATGATTTACAACATAATACTATTCTTTATAATAGTAGTTATATTAATTTAGATAATGGTAATTTTCCAATTCGTTCACATTCATTTTTTCACTTACGCCCATTAGATTCCCTTAGTTCAAATGGATCTCATTCTAAACCTGATACAGATATATTATATCCTATGAATGGTTCATTCAATCAATTAGCTATTCGTGTTTCCTCATCACCTATGTCAGTTTGTAGTAATAATACCTTTTATCAACAGAATAATTGTTCAGAAGATCAATATAATAAAACCACTTTTAATGGTAACAATTATGGCGGTAGTAGTATCAAAAGCAGACGGAGTAAATGCGAGAAATATATCAGTCCGGACAAGCACACTTGCATTAGATCATATTCAGCTATGAGACATCCAAACGAATGTAATATACGTGTATTTCGTTCACCTCTCGATGTCCTTTCACCGTGTAAAGGTAAGAAATTTTGTAGTATTGTATTAAACATTAAATTTTACAACAAGAACATTCTTGGAAACATAACGTACGCTGCTTATTTCCCCAAGTGAACTATAATCTCTCAAATAAATCCACAATTAAGTTTATATATTAGGGCAATGTAGTGTTGAATAAACTCGTCATGCACCGATACTTTACACCTGCTTGTATTTATCACAGAATTCCGTTATTTAAAAAATACTGAATTAACTAATTTTACTATCACATAAACAAGTCCCTTTATGTAATAGTACATGTTAGTATATTTAAAACATTTCTCGACAAATAGCTGACGGATAAGTAGCCTGAACTTAATTATTGTATAAAGATCTCATCAAAAGTTGTAAACGCGTCTTGCAGATGATTATCAGTTATCGTAAAACTCTTGATCTATGAGATGAGTACTTTTTATGTATCCTTTAACCCTAGTAATAATCGTTAGGGTGCCAATTAGTCAGTGTTAGTTGTTGTTGATGTCTTTGAGCCAGATGGCTTAACTGTTGAGCTTTCATTATCGTTCTAGGCAACATTGTCATTTATGTAGCGGACATATTTTTCGTCATACCATAGGACTCTTCAGAACTTCCAACTCACGAAACATTAAGCGATCAAACTTAGGACCTAAAGGTTTTGTGGCTAGCATCTCATCTTTATACCAGGATTTCATATTCACAGATTTAGTCAGTATGCAATATTGTGAAGCTACTGTCCATTTACATCAGTAATATATGTCTCTTTTGCTAGGACAAACTTTCTCCCCAGTATTACAGAGTTTTCGTTGGTTGTCCGACTAATCAGTTCATGATGTAAACTACAAATAAAACGGTCACATAGAATTGAATATGCTAATATTTTTGACAGTTGTCATGAAATGTTGTCATTTAACCTAGTGTTTAAAATGGTAATAAGTAATCCCTCTAGCTATGATATTGGTTGATATATAATCGGTTTTCAATTTAGACAGAAGTTTTCTCAAACTTACATTCATGTTTAGCTGTCAAACTCATATAGCAGCTTACATGATATCCTTTGTCTTTGAGCTATATAGATTGCTCAATACTCAAATATTCTAACACTAACCTATAATGTTTAATATATTTTATGAATTATCAAATGTAGAATGTTAAATAAAATTACAGTATGATAACTTAATGTTTTCAAAAAATTTAATAATTGAATTCATGAGTCAATTAAAGCTGGACAACCATGAAAAACCAAGAAGTAATGGACGGTCGTTTCGTCCTATTGTGGGACACCTCATCAATGCGCATCCACAATCCCGACTCGCGACATTCGAATCCAGGACCTATCAGTCTCGCGTGCGAACACTTAACATCTAGACTACTAAGCCGACAGCCAATGGTGTCATTATCTAACTTCAACTAATCCACCAAATTGAGCGACACATCCACCATTGTCTTTAGTGACTTACAATCTAACAACAGACCTGGTTGAACTACACTGGTTACTGCTTTTCACTAGAACTCCAGGAAATACCTCTTGAAGCCAGTCACTAGAGAGCACATGATGATTAACTCATGAATTCAATTATTAAATCACTACATTCTTCACACAACCCCTCTATGACTATTTTCAAGCAGTTATCCCTTAACATTTCTTATTACCAAAAAGGTGACCAAAACACTTTTTCAATGCTATAAATTATAATTTAATCTATCCAAATACCAGATTGTTTAACAATCGGTATAAGATATTTGTATATATGGATAACACTGTAAAATCTTAGTTTGTCAATAAAGGTGGTGCTAAATTCATAAACAGTTTTGTTTTGGTACTTATTATTGGGTAATAATTTGATTTATTTGAGCTGTTAGTTTGGATGGTATTAACAATCCAGAAATTTACGGTCTAAAATACTACTGATTTACCACAAGTATATTATTTGTCATATGTGAAATTTCAGGTAACTTTAACTCATAAGGACTTGCTTTAAATGACAGCAACAACTAAAAATACATAATGCGGTTACATTGAACTAGAGAAATAACTATCAGAAAACTTTTTTTATGCTTTGGTCATCAGTGATGGAACACTACTGTGGAACAAACTGTCTACAAGAAGATATTAAGCTAATCAACAGACAAATCCACTTTGGTTCAACTCAAGAAATATGTACGTTTTTATTATACTTGAATTCATGAGTTATTTTAAGTTATACCGCCATGGAAAACCTGGAAAAACTGGACGGCTTTTTCGTCCTATTGTGGGATTCCCCAGCGACTGGCTTCAAGAGGTATTTCCTGGAGTTCTAGTGAAAAGCAGTAACCAGTGTAGTTCAACCAGGTCTGTTGTTAGATTGTAAGTCACTAAAGACAATGGTGGATGTGTCGCTCAATTTGGTGGATTAGTTGAAGTTAGATAATGACACCATTGGCTGTCGGCTTAGTAGTCTAGATGTTAAGTGTTCGCACGCGAGACTGATAGGTCCTGGATTCGAATGTCGCGAGTCGGGATTGTGGATGCGCATTGATGAGGTGTCCCACAATAGGACGAAACGACCGTCCATTACTTCTTGGTTTTTCATGGTGGTTTAGCTTCAATGGACTCATTATCTCAACTATTGAAATTACAAACATTTTATTTAGGAGTCAAAGTAGTCTATATTCTGAGCCTGAAATAAATGATCATGAATATAACATTATGTCCATTTATATATTGTACTGGTTAGGTAAATTTAATAATATAAATAATCGATAGGAATAATTCGGTGTTGTACTGTTTTTTTATCGCCGCATCGATGTTTAGTACTGTAGTTGCTTATAACCGATAGGATTATTAGCACATTTAATATATAATCACGTTTAGTTTGTGATAAAAGCATCTCCAGTAATTAGTTGCTCTTTCATTATTACATACTTACACTTTACTTACTCATAGGCCACCAACCAGTATTCTTCAACCAACTCTGTCCTGGGTTCTGCTTTGCAGTTGTTTCCAAGTACTATGGATTCTTTTCATTTCTGCTTCCAATTCCTGACGCAATGTGTTCCCTAGTCTTTCTCTCTCCCTGTTCCTTTCAGGATTTCACGTCAGGGCTTGCCACTTGATGAAGTCTGATAAATTCCACAGTGTATGTCCTACCAACTGCCATAATCTTTTCCGAATTCCCCCTTAAGCTAAGCTGGTTTGTCCACTGCCATATTAGGTTGTTGTTGATGGTATTCGGTCAACGGACACTGAGTACCTTGAGTAAACACTTGCTTATAAATATCTGCACATTTTTGATGACGGTTGTAGTAATTTTACAACTTTCAGCTCCGTGCAGTAGGACTGTCTTGATGTTTGCATTGAAGATTCTTTGATGTTGGCTGACCGTTGTTTTGAGTTCCATATATTCTTCAACCGTAGGAGTGCCTCAATTGCCTGGCCAATCCTCGCCTTTACACCTACATTCGATCCTTCTCATTTATCGATGATAATGCTCAGGTACGTAAAACTTTACACCACCTTCGGAGCTTATCCATCGAATGTTGTTGGTTTGGAGCTCTCTGTATTGCATTTCGGGATCTTGCCTTCTCTCATGTGTATATTGAAGCCTACTGCTGCGTAGGCTGCTCCTATACTGTCTAAAGTCCAACTCATCTATTTACATCCAAGTCGTCCATTTTATTCCAAGCTTCCCCTCATATGTGAAGGTCTTGATTACTCAATCGATCACCAGAAGAAAAAGGAATGGTGAGAGTAAGCAGCCTTATCTACCACCGGTTCCATTGCATTGATTATTCAACAATGATTCATAGTGTTGTGTGGCGGTTTGTGCACGACGGAATCCATCCTGTTGATCCAGAAGTTGAGTGTACGTTGAATATTTCATTCTGTTCAACATCACTCTGCCCAGGGTTTCGATAGACATTCATTCACTACGATAGGGCTTTCTGCGGTTCACAATCTGTTTGCACGTTGAAATCAGTGCTTCTTTGATCCCCTTCTAGTTGTTCACCAAGTACTTTCCTCTTCTTTGAGTAGATCTTGTAAGGATTGAATTTGTTGCTAAGAGCTATCCGGAATTCACCGAGTTTGTCACTGTCACGAATTAAGGGTGTTCTAAATCTTTATAATGCTGTTTCCCTGGCTGTCCAGCTTTTCTTTAGATTCAGTTTCATCTTGACCACCATCAGGTAGTGATCTAAAGCTACATCAGCTCCTCTCTCGGTTCTCACGTCTTCGATGGATCTTCTGAATTTTTTAGTGATGTAAATATGATCCATTTGGTTCTTCATGATGTGATTCGGTGAAACTTATGTAGCTTTGTGTATGAGTTCGTATGGGAATATTGTGCCAGCTCTTGCCATTTTTTAAAGGCGCGTAATCTCGAAAATCTGTTACCGTTTTCCATCCCTTTCTCCTAGTTCATGTCGTCCTATGATATATTCATCCGTGGTGTTGTCCATTCCGACCTCAACGTTTAAATCTCTCATTGTAAAATTCGACAGTCGGAAGGAGGAATGTGTCTATATCGTGAAAAATTACTAATTATTTACATAAAAATCATACACAGTCGTTAAATGTCTATTTGCATCTTTCGGCGTGCGCTGCAGTCTGAACAGTCTTCTCGTATGATATCCAAGTGTTACGCTAACGCCGTACTTTCGATGTACTGAAGCTCTTCACTCCACCTGACAAGTGTTGCAACTTCGAGTCCATACTACTTACAAACAATCTTCGGAGTAGTGCCCACTACACCATCAGAATGGTCAGGTCTTTTCCTGGGCATTTCTGTACGACTAACTTTTGCCTCTAATGAAACTGATCTTTTGCGTCTTGTTCACTTTCACCAATGGGTACATAGCACTAGATAACATTTATTGAGATTCCCTCCTTCGTTTTGAAGGATGCTTTGATTATTCTGGATCCATAGAATTCCAATTTTATAAGTGTTTTTCGTGCTTTTTGGATAGCATCAGTGCAATTCCTTGTGTGTGCGAGGAAGTTTCTTATTTATACTCAGAGTACAACAG